CTGGACTAGTTAAAATTCATAAACGCGAAAGAAGCTCACCGTCGACTTTGAATAACAATTTAAATATTTCTGAAATGAATAAAAAAAAACGTTACAAATTAGTCGAAAATTCTAGTATTACGACGTCGCCATCACTATTTTCTTCCTCCTCTTCGAGTTCGTGTGCTTCAGAATCGTCTTCTTTAGATAATAATAAAGAAGCGCCGGAAAATCGTGTTGAGTTTTTAAGAGTGGTGAGTGAAAAAGATAATATATTGTATTGTACGGTTTGTTTGTAGTTTCAATACATTGTATTGTATTGTATTGTATTGTAATATCAATACATTGTATATCTCATACTTTGTCTTGCTCCTTAGTTACAAAAGAAAAAACAAGGAAAATATGGTTTTATATTAAATAATTTCCTACTTGAATTGAGTTTGTAATCTAAATTCTAATAACTTTCAGCTTCGCAGCTCACTTTCTCCGGAAAATTTTGCTGCATTTACTGCCGCCCTTATCTCTTATAAACGTGATAACACATTCGATGCTTTAATGACATTGCTAATGGATATATTAGGAAAACCCCACTTGCTGTATATGCTGCGAGGAATGCGACGTTTTTTGAAAAATGAACATAAATCTCAGTTCGATGATCGATTGTCGTGTATATCATAGTTGTTGTAATATTTTATATTGTATAAAGTTTTTAATGCACTTACAGTTATTTTTTTTTTATTATATATAGCGCGATACTAGTGCTAGGTGCTGTTTGCAACACCTAAAATAGACTACTTTTGAATGTAAATAAATAAAATTAAATTAAAAATTTTTAAAAATTAAAAAATTATTTCATTTCTCTTGCATTCAATAATATTCCATAAAAATAACATCAAAATTTGTTGAATAAGGACTCCCTACACAAAATCTCATTTATATATATGTCTTACTTACTTATGTGGCCATAACAACCCGTTACCGAGTTTCGGCCTGACGCAGCATGTCTCCCCAGGCGCCTCTGCTGCGTGCACGCCTTCTCCAGTCTCGTATATCAAGTCCAGTTAGTGCTCCCTCAACTTGATCACTCCACCGGAGACACGGTCTACCTCTACGTCTTCTTCCGCCAACTACTGCTTCAAACACCTTTTTCGCCGGAGCGTCTTCATCCATTCTCACGACATGACCAAGCCAGCGAAGCCGCTGGATGTTAATGCGCTGAATTATATCAATGTCGTGATAAAGCTCGTACAGCTCGTGGTTCATTCTAATGCGGTAGTCGTCGCCAACTCGTAGAGGACCAAAGATCTTACGAAGAACTTTTCTCTCGAACACTCCCAGTGCTGCTTCATCATTCTGTGATAACGTCCATGCTTCTGCGCCATACAGAAGCACAGGGAGGATGAGCGACCTATAGAGCGTAAGTTTTGTTTGTCGAGAGAGAGCTCTACATCCCAATTGCCTACTGAGCCCATAGTAGCACCTATTAGCAATGGTGATTCTTCGTCTGATCTCCAGACTGACATCATTTGTATTCGTTACGGCGGTGCCAAGGTAGATGAAATCCTTGACAGAATCGAAAGTATAGTCGCCAGCCACTAGCCCGGCGTCCGAGCGACGCACATTTCTACCAGTAGCCGACATATACTTCGTTTTTCCCTCATTCACCGCTAAACCCATTCTTGCAGATTCCTTTTCGATAGCAGCAAAAGCAGCTGTAACATCACGCTTGCTACGCCCAATGATGTCAATGTCGTCGGCGTAAGCAAGGAGCTGGACACATTTGTAGAATATTGTTCCATTACGATGAACACCTGCCCTGCGCATGATCACTTCCATGACGAAATTGAAGAGGTCACATGATAAGGGATCACCTTGTCTGAAGCCTCGCACGGTATCAAAAGGTTCAGAGAGACTCGATCCTACCTTGACGGAGCTACGGGTATTACTCAGCGTCATTCTGCAAAGTCGAATTAATTTTGGAGGGATACCGAGCTCAGACATTGCGGCGTAAACGTGATCCCTAATGGGGCTATCGAAAGCTGCTTTATAATCGACAAAAAGGTGATGAGTGTCGATGTTATGTTCGTGGGCTTTTTCCAGGATTTGTCGCAGTGTGAATATCTGATCAATGGTGGAGCGACCAGGTCGAAAGCCGCACTGATAAGGTCCAATCAGTGAGTTGGCATGTGGTTTCAACCTTTCACACAGTACAGTTGAAAGAACCTTGTACGCGACAGGTATCTGGCTAATCCCGCGATAGTTGGCGCAAATCCTCGGGTCACCTTTTTTCAAGACAGGACAAAGGCTACTGAGATTCCAATCGCTGGGCATACTTTCATCTAACCATATTCTGCAGATAAGCTGATGCATGCACCCTATCAGCATATCGCCGCCGGCCTTGAACAATTCAGCAGGCAGGCCATCTGCGCCTGCCGCTTTGTTGTTCTTAAGTCGCTGTATAGCAACACGCACTTCGTTATGGCTAGGTGGTGGAATTTCAACATCATCATTTTCGATTGGGGATACAGAGGGCATTTCTTCAATGGCAGAGTTGATGTTATCATCGCCAGATAGTAGTTTGGAGAAATGCTCCTTCCATACTTTCAGTACATTCTGCGTATCTGTAACCAGATTACCATTTTCGTCCTTACAGGTTGATGCACCAGGCTTAAAGCCTTGAGTCAGACGGTTGACTTTTTGATAAAATTTACGGGCATCATTCCTATTTCTACACACCTCGATTTCCTCTCGCTCGCGCCTTTCTTGATCTCGTTTCTTCCGTCTGAATAGGCACCTCTCTACCTTCCTCATCTCCCGATATTGTTCATGCACGGTTCGCGTTGCTGCTGACTGCAGGGTCCTTTTATAGGCCGCGTTCTTCGCAGCAGTAGCTTGGCGACACTCTTCGTCGTACCATTGGTTTCGCCGTGGGGGACGTTTGAAACCAAGGACATCTTCCGCTGTTGTGCGTAGGGAGTGAGAGATATGTCCCCACTGTCTACCGGCATTATCGAGACGGGAGGGTTGGTTGTTTAATCGGCTAGAGAGCTGAGCGGCGAAGGCTTCGGCTGTCTCTCGTGATCGCAGCTTATTAACGTCTAGTTTTTTCTGAACATTGGAGCGTACGTTGTTGGCGGTACTAAGCCGCATGCGTACCTTGGCTGCGACAAGGTAGTGATCTGAGTCGATATTTGGACCACGGAATGAACGTACGTCCAGCACACTAGAAGCGTGCCTTGCGTCAATCACGAAGTGATCAATCTGGTTTCGTGTTGCTTGATCGGGAGATAGCCATTTATATATATGTCTCTAAGAATAATTAGTCCCGATGTACACAACATCACTTTTATATACCATATATGTGATATATAAAAATATCAATTTGATAAAAATGTACTTTCTGAAGCTTTATGTTCTAATTCACAAATATACTAAATACTAGATTTTAACAATTAACAATCGATTGGCATTGGATGACCAAAATTTTGCATACATACTTTTTGATATTCCTTGAAGTAATCGAAATCGATGATCTGTTGCGCACTATGGAATATAAATTGAACCCAAAACTGATGAAAAATTAGATTTATTTTGATCAGAACCACAAAAATCACCTTATATAGTTGGTATAATATCTGTTTAACTGTAGTATGGTCTAAAACGCTGGGTCGGTAGTTATATATAAAGCTCTAAATCACTACAGGTTATGTATTTTACAATGTTCACGGAACTAATTATTATAAAATTAATTATTTTTTTATGATTTTTTTAAACAACTAAACAAATAATTTGTTTCCTCATTATATAATGTCTATTTGATATATGTACATACGAACACCGATGCGGTACGTTATGATAGTTTCAGTTATACGATATATCGGATTGCATAAGTTGATCGCGTATGGTATTGTGGAATGTGACGATTAAAAGTTGAACTGTATTGGTACCGTACTAGACACATGACTGTACAAGGCAGCTGTTTTCATTACGAGAAATAATTGAGAAATTAAGATCAAATCTATATTATAGTTTTTTATATAGCTCTTATACGTAGTAAGAAAAAATAGATAAAAATCATATATAGTAATTATAAAAAATTTTTGTGGTTTATATCTTAACATTTGCAATTTTTAAAACAGATGTGAATTTCACAATATGAGCTATAATTCAATTTTGCCGGTTGAGGCAACTGCCAAAGATCAGTGATTATACAAGTCTTTCACTCAGATATAAATATAAAAATCTTAATTTGTTAAGAACTTTTACTTTATTTTCTTACTTTACTAAGGGGGTTTATATCTATTATGTAAGTTAATGTTGGCCTATTATTTATTATTACAAATATATTATTTTTATATATGGATCTAATAGATACTAGAAGTAGACTAGGTGTACTTGCATGCTGTTAATGTTTATTGCAACATGGTCCTCACAAGATTTTAAGTAACGTCGAACCATCGTTTTGTGCCTTTTTATGTGCTTATTTTCGGATCAAAAGTTTTCGTTCATTAGAAGAAAGAATTAATTCAAATAACTTTGTTATTTCATTGTGTTTCTCTTTTCAAATTTGAACCTATGCATTTTCAGCACCCCAGCTCACTCTCTTACTAAAATTTTGTTGCAGTTACTGCAATTAATAGACGGATAGTTCGGATAGTTTACGAGAACCCAACTTGCTGTGTGTGTTGCGAATGAACATAAATCCCAGTTCGATATATGAATAACATTTATATTATTTATATTATAGTTATCTATATTATAGTTCTTCTAATGTCGTATAGTATATTTATATATATATATTTTAAGTATTTAATGCATTTACAGTTCTTTGTTTTAATATCTACTCAGCTTAAGTTTAAACTTAGGTCTGTAAACTTTGAATACTCTGAAAATTAAATATTAGTATTTATAGGTTTTACTATATTGCTAAATTTAATTATTTATAACATTTAGAACATATATGACTTCATAAGTATTTTACAATATATTATTTATTATATATATGTTTATATATTGGGTTTTAACATATTTTAAGTTTATCACTTTGGCAAAGTACACATACTGCACGAAAAAGGTTTGCATGTTGAAAGGCACAAATTTTAATTTCAAACATTTGTTAAAAAAACTATAAGTATATATATATACATATATACTATTGAATGACAACAACAGGTTGATAAACATGCTCTACTTATTGTTGTTAGCTACGTGTTTTTTTTTATGCTGCTTCTCTCCTCTCTAACATAAGTTAATATTACTCCTTCCACTGAAGTCCGAAACGCTCTTCGAATGTCAACCGATTGTACACACCAATGTCAGCTAACTGCACTGGATCTGTGAAGTATGCAAAACGTCTTATATCCATCATTGAAGCATCAAACATTTGCTTCCAGCTTGTTAAATCAGTAACACTCATATGTATTGGCAGTTGTGGATCAGGTATATCAATGGCAGCTTGCAAACGATCAAAAGCTTCCGCAATTGGTCCAACCGATAGATTCACCCAGTACTCCTCTGGAAAACGTTTATTCTCACAAAATGGTGCACCCTTCCGCATGATGAAGAGTAGCATTAAAATCTCGTAACGTTCGGAAGTTTCATAAAAGCGCTTAGTGCGCGTTTTTTCCACAAAGTCAATTAACAATATTAGCGGTGTGTAGTTTTGTAAATGCATTAGCAATTCCCTATCTGTCCACACATATCTGCCGCCCTTGACATTCGCAATATTAACTACTGATGCGCCCTTTTGTCTCAGACAACCACCTTCCTCAACCATATCGAAATGTGTGTTCTAACCGAAATGAGGGCAAGGTTAGTTTTGTTTCTTTCGTTGTGATGACTTTTTGGCACAAGTTATTCCAGAAATATTTGCTGAGAGAAAAGAAAAATAAATATTTTTTCTTATTGCTTGTCATATTTATTTTTTATTATTATTATCATTATTATTATATGCACAATAAATGCAATTTAGAATTAATAAACTTTTACCTATTCTATGCAAGTAGTTACAAGTGTTGTTGCCTGCGAGTAACAAATGAGATTGAAATCATGGGCATTACCCGACCATGGGTAATGCATTTTATGTTGTTTATGTTGGATGGGGAGAGCAGCTGAGAATTACTGGTGCTAATGCGCAATGACCACATCCGTGCCTTAACGCATTTTTGATTTTCGTTGTGAGACGTTAAATGTAAATGTGCATTTATAAAAATTAATTATTAATAAAAAATAATCGAATAATTTATAAAAAAATATATTTCCGAAAATATTTTAAATATATTTATTTACAAATAACATATATTAAATATCAAAATAACATACACTAACTGTCTAGTGAAGCATATTTTCAAATGTGATAATTAACTAATAACGGAAATAAAACCTAATTTTATAATATATATTTATTTTTTGCTATTTAAATAGCTCGCATTAACTATCAATACTATTTATAACGTTGTTATATATTTATTTTTAATAAAAGATGGAAAGACTCAACGATGTGCAGGCTATTGTATGCAAACTGGTCATGTTCCGATAAAAAGAAATCCAAACTTCTCATTGAGATACCCCGTAGAGATATAAGTCTTTTAATAGGTTTACTTACAGATCACTATAAACTAGGGAAGCATGCTAGAATTGGTCCTCTTTTCAATCAAACCTGTCGCAGCTGTGGAGAAGACGATGAGAGTGCCTCTTATCTACTATGTTTTTGCCCAGCTCATGCACGGCGCCGACTCAATACTTTAGGAGCACCTTTTCTTGAGGATCTTGGCCAATTACAGAATTTGACACTAAATAGCATAAGGCTTCACCAAAGGTTCTAGGTGGTTTTAAACGCTGAGTTTTTTCTATACATACGGTAACACAATGGGCCAATAGGCCTAAGTGAATCCAGTAGGGATAATCTAACCTAATAGTTTTTTAATTTTAATTTTTTACTGTTCAATATGTCATTTTTTAAATCTCTTTATGAAGCCCCAAAGTTCCAAAGAGTAAGCGTGCTTCGGAAACCATTTCGTCTTTTAGAACAATCAAAGATATCAATAGTCTATCTTTACCATACAAATGCAGAAGCAATCTCCTGGAAACTAAAGTCGCATCGACTGTAGTCGTGGATAATGACATAAAAAGCGATTGATTGATTGTATTTCATCTTTTTCTAATCATGACAACTAAAACTCGGACGGCTTGTTGGAGTATTGCTGAATATGCTAAAGCCCATTTTGCTATTTTCATATCTAGTTTATGTATATGTTTTACATAAACGATTTAAAATTCGTTTTTCTTCAAAATGTATACCGGTCTTCTAAACAGTGTGAATAATAGGAAACTTAAATAAATTACGAGAATTCTACTTAAAACGATCACTAGTTATCAAGTGTTTTGGCAACCAAAATAACTTTTAATTAAAATGCAGTACATTTATTTTTTAAGATTTTGGTTTTATATTTTAAGAGTAACTTTTATAAATACTAAAATATTTTTGTTAAATATTCTTAAACATAATATGAATCAGTTCAATTTGAAACAACATTTTGCGTAGTAAATCAGAAAAATTTCTAAATCTTTAAACAATCATTAGATATCAGAATATACCAAAAGTAATAATATTTTTGTTTATACAAAATTATGAACTTATAGATATATAAACACTCGTCAAGGACTCGACAAGCATATCCATTGTTCTGGTTGCAATGTTTATATCTGTTACTTAATTTTATGACAAACGATTTTTTTTATTTTTTCTTTGCATTACTAAATATTCCTAAGTACTTTCCTCGTGTCATTTCTTTTGCTTCATGCACTCCCAATTGATACGCATCGTCATAAATGTTTTTTACCTCTAATATGACACCATTATGGCTTAGTTTGCTCAATTCTAAAAAGAAATAAAAATAATCAAAATTGATTACTTCGAACATTTCGCACTACATACCTAACATAGAAGTAACATCTTCTCGTGATAAACCGTTTGTCCACTCTGGAGCCGGTGTGCAAATAGGTGTGTCACTCATTGCTATGAAATCCGTTATGCCAGGTACTGAAATGAGTAAATATAGTTAAGAATGCAAAATATTTTTTTTAGTCAAATTAAAATAAATGAAACGTTTTTCTTTGCTATACTCCAACAACAACAGACATCTGTGTTTTATATTGAAGTTTTCCGTTGCGTCGTACTTTACAAACAATAAATATATCACTGAATTATTAGTTGCTTTTTTCTGTTAATTGTTAATGTTTGGTTTTTTGTAACAGGTTGAACTAAAAACAAGTTTATGACTTGAACAACAATAAGTATGGTATTAAATTATTCTTAAATTGCTTGTTGTTTTTTACAATTTAAACTATAAAACTCACTTTTTTCAGGCCACATTTCTGGTGAGGCTCTGTCCAGTTTTTCCAATGACAAGAGGCCATCGTCACACAATTCTTCTTTTAGCGGTGGACCTTAAATTATATTTTTTAAATACAAACATATAATTAAATTATTATAATTACTTTTAAAAATACGTTCCGGACTAGACATTTTGCCAAATTCTTTGTTCACTACAAATTTTGTATTACGAAGCTGTCAAAAAATAAAACGACTTCTATGGAGTAACGAATAATACCAAACATGCAATTAATCTAACAACCGGTAGTCGGTATATAAAGTAAGTTTAAACATACTTGTGGTAACAATTATCAGTGGTTAATTTTATTTTACAGTTTTAATAATAATTTAATAATACAAATGTAGTATTTTTTTATTAAATATGTTATGAAATTGTAAGGTTAATGCATAAATAAAAATTTCATAAAATATTTAGTTTAGATAGATTTATTTTATAGTGTGGCAACACTACAAATTGTAGGCAGGTTATTTTCATTATGCACATTGCTCTACAACTGATAGTACGTGTTCCGTGTGTTTGCTAAATTGCATAAATTTTTTTTTTCGTAGAGTACATAAAATACTTTTACAACAAAAATTAAAAATAAAATTAGATTGTAGTTTAATATTTGTAATTAGTGAAACTATATTTGTGTTTATTATTTAACTATTAACTGATGGCAGAGGGTACAACTGGAGCGATTCGCAAAAAGGAAATTTCTTCCCCTTGTGTTCCTACAACCGTAGCAGATAATATAAAAAAAAATATTACATCTTTATTTTTTGATTTAGATAATACTTTAACACAAACTAGAGCTGGGGACTTGAAAGCATGTCGTAAGGTAAGAGAGAAAGTGCAAGTAATGCTTCTAGCAAATATGAAAATTTTCCATTCGCTGCTAAAAAAACGTGAACAAGTTGTTGGTGTTCGCGCTGACGATGGAGGAAACAATGCAAAATGCCACATTACATATTCCCAGAATTTGACCTGCAGTGTGCTAGACTAATTTTAATACAATACTCTGTAACTGTCTACCACAGCCTGTCGTCTGTTGACTGTCGACTGTCGACTGTTTTTTGTTCTTATATTTAAAAAGTGCAAATGTATTCGCATCTGATTAGTTCCGGGTTTCTCGCGAGGACTTTTCAAGGATAAGTGTAAATTCAAGGGTTGCCAACGTATAATTTAAAGTGTTGCGCAATGCAAGTTACAGCAAATTCAACGCCGAACCCGGAAGTGTGGAGGAACTCATTACGGAAATGTAACAAAAATAATATTATTATTAATATTTAATTCTGTATGAGTTCTGAGTATATTAATTAAAATATGGATTTGACATCTGTTATGATAAGTTATGATAACAGAATATATATTTTTATATAGGGTTCATATCCATTATAAATGTAGAGTCGCTTATCGTGCATACGATGTGTAACAGATATACGTATATGTATGTATGTATATATATTATAAATTTTATGGCCACGGAATGATTCGGTAATGCAATAAACAGATTGTATCTATAGATACAGTATTATTAGGAAATGATTAATTTTCGAAATATTGCAACAATTAGTTTGAATGCGATGTACGTGACATAAAACAGAATTTTCGTTGGAAATTACTCACTTGAAAATCGAGTTGGGTTTTGTATAACAATGCTTTGCAATAGTTTGTAGTTAGTAATTATTCGATATTTAAGTAGATGTAAAATAAAAATATCGAATTATATAATTTTTTTGTTCTTATATTTTGAAACAGCAGCACTTTTGCCCCTACAGCTGGCTATGAGTTTGGCATATAAGGTACATGGCGCATCACAGCAGTAGAATTGACGAGTCCGATATTGGTAAGAAGTGGCGGAGAGTCTCTGATTTTTCGCAATTATACTTTTTTATATGCCAGTGTATACAGTATACTTAGTAAAGCAACATCGCCTGTTTAGGTATTGGCTCAATAGGTTATAGTCGTCTTCAATGTATGGTAGTATTGATGAGATTGTTTGAAAAATAAAAACTTGCTTTCGTTTACCCTTAAAATATTAGCAAAAATGTTTCTGTCGATGGTGAGGCTTTCCTCTATGATCATCTATAATCTACATACTTTTTCGAACCTAAAGTCATCCTATTTAATTTTGCTGCTTATAGTATTATTTTTATTAGAATTTCTTGGCAATATAAAAACTAATATAAAACTCAAAATTCTTTTTGTTGGTTTCAACATCAGAACTCTTGAAAATTTTTTTGAGAGCAGACATTTATAAATTCTAGCTTTATATCTCATATATTGTAATTAAAAATTTTTTTTACTTGAATTTAATAAATTTTCTATGTATTTACAGCTTATTGAAGTACTCGAAAATCAGTTTTCATTCACGAAGGAAGAATCCACTGTTGCTACGCAATCTTTTCTAAAGGCATTTCGTCGCTGTCCTGATAACTCACAGACTTCATTAGATTCATGGCGAACTTATTTATGGCGTGCAGCTTTACCAGAACGTTATAAAAATTTAGCAGAACACATTTATCCAAAATGGTTGCAGCTACGCTACCGTTATCTGGCACTATCGCCAGAATATATTCAAATGCTGAAACGTTTTCGTGAGGCAGGTTTTTTGTTAGCACTTATTACAAATGGGCCATCTAATGCGCAATGGGAGAAAATTAAAAAACTGAATGTTAGTCAATATTTCGATTGTGTATTGGTGTCTTCAGACTTGCCATGGGAGAAACCAAATCCAAATATATTTTATGCAGCTTGCAATTTTCTTGGCGTTAAGTCTAGTCAATGTGCAATGATTGGTGATAATTTGGAAACTGATATTAAGGTATTAAATATAATAAGCAATAAGTTATTAACAAAAACAAATAATAAAATATATTTAATAAATTATTTTAGGGCGGTCATTGCTTAGGTGCTACATTTTGGCTACCATTAAATCATGCAGAAATTGATTTAAGTGATGTTACCCATCCACCAGACGTTACACTTCGCACGCTTTTGGATCTTTATAAATATTTTCCTGCTGTTTACAAAAACAATGTAAATACTAGCACAACAAATATATCTAGTACACAAAGCAAACGTAGAGGTAGTCATATTAGCTATAGTTCAACACTGAGTACCTGTGATAGTGAGATATTTTATTCTAATCATTATCAACAACACAATTTCCAAGTTCCACAACAGAAAAAAGATAATGAATACTGCAACAGACGCATCAATAAATACAGACGCGGTGGTTCCTTACCAGCTATTGAATGTTTCAATAGCTTCTCCGATTAGTTTGTGAATTTATTTTAATTTAATTTTAATGAGTGAGTATTGCCAATATTCTACACACACACAACCGAAATGAATAACTAAAAGAACCAGCTTGGGTTCTATAATCACTTTAAAGGCAATATAGTTAAATGGTGTAAAATAATATGTATGTTTTAAATCTCATTTGTAAACACATGTACAATCTATGAGGACTTTTTCCTATGCAAAATATATCGTTGCACATTTTCTATATTCTGTATATACATTTTATAGAAATAAAGTAAATCTGATGATTTTAGAAGATTAAATCTTTATAATAACACAATCTTTTAATTTAAGCTTTAATATATTTTAATTAAATAAAGAAATTTTGTTTAATAGATAAATTCCAAAAATTAAAGAACTTTTTTTCATAGACAAGATTCTTGCGGCTTTAACTGAAACATATGTACATTAAGTATTATTTAATTTTTTTATTTGAGGACTGCTCCCACCTTTTCTACAATATGTGATAATTAATTCATATATTAATTCATATATTAAATCTAATAGAAATTATACTTGTATAGAAATCTCGTATTTGAGATGTCGTGTATGTAACATGAACTGTTCTAGTCCCGTTGAACCATGTGTAACGTTGAGTTTTTTGTACTGAAAAAATGAGGTATATTTTCAATATATGTTCGAAATTTTTGCCCTATTGATTTATGACTTAGATGCGGTAATGGGAAACTTCGTTTAACCGAATACCGGTTACGTTCAACATTTTTTATACCCCATCCCTTTTCCTATCTATAAAAGTTGTCACCTTTTTATATGCTGGAACATAGTTACTGTTCTTAAAAATCAGTGAAAATCAAATTACAACAAATACGCAGTTTATTTATTTATTAAATAAAAACTGTTTATTGTTATCCTGGAAACCATGTAGAAAAACTTTATTTTCACTACACATGTTAACAATTAATTGATCTCTGTTTATAATATTTAATAATTTGTTTAACAATAGCTACAAATACTTTGTTTCATATACATAATTGAATGCGTTTCTACAATTAAACACAATATAAATTTTTATGCATACAGCGGGCAGCGGGGATGCATATATTTTTTTATGTTTTTATATATTAAAAAGGAAATAAGTTCAGAACTGCTGAACATAGATTTGTAAAAGTATACATACATATATATTGATATATTAAAATAATTTTAAACAAAATACAACCTCGACATAATACAATATATAGGAAGGAAATTCAAGAACTTTTAGCACAGCCCTCGTGCTTTGCTTTACTAAATTAGTCTATTCTATGCGAAAACCGTTGCCCACTATATTTATATATATAATATTATTTTATATATATGTACATATCTTATAATAATTTATTAAATCGTCATTTATTAATATTTTGTCTTATTAGAGCTAAAGTGTTTTGTTTTGTTTTGTTTTGTTTTGTTTAGTTAAAGTTATTTTGTTTCCGCAGTAATTGATAAAAGAGCACTTCCGTTAAAAATTATACTTTAAGTAAATAATATTAAAAGCATATATAAGTTTACTTCCTTAGCAATGGATATAAGTATAAAGTATTACTAAATCCACTATTATTACGATCTTCAAAGTTGTTGACTTTTAGTTGCTTATTGGACTTTCATTTCTTCTGTGCTGCAATTTCCTCAATCTTTTTTCGTCGCTTGCTCAATAAAGCATTATTGGATTTGTCTAAAGCCTTAATATGAGTCTGAAAAATGTAATTAAAAACAATTAATTAGTTTAAGTTGAAAGTACAACAGTCAGTTATAACACTTAACCTGATCGTAATCCACTCGCATTGTTGCTAATGAACGCATCATTTCTTCTTGAACTTCTGGCCATGTTTCTTCACCCTCCTTTAGCATACGTCCAGTGCACAATGGTGTCATTGGCACTTCTGCATATTGCGCAATCCATCTGTTGCGCATCACGTCTTCAATGCGTAGACGTTTGCTTGGATCGACATTTAGCATGCCTTTGATTAAGTCCTTTGCAGCCTGACTTACATTTTCCCATTCTGGATTTGGGAAATCATACTGACCGGTACGTATACGTTTCTTCATTCCTGGTGATATAGCAAGACCATGGTTACTATAGAATGGCGGAAAACCACACAGTATTATATACATTATAACGCCTAAGGACCAAATATCGCAACTCTTGTCATATTTTTCAGGGCCTAAAACTTCGGGAGCTGCAGAAATCAAGAAAAGAATATGTATGTTATGCAAATACAAATAGCATCGCTTCAAGATACTTACCGACATAATAAGGAGTATAGCAAGGAGTTTGCAGTGTATCCTTTATTAAAGTTTCTTTGGCAAATCCAAAATCTGTTAATTTTAAAATGGCATTCGGATGTTGAGAAGTATAGAGCAAATTTTCAGGTTTTAAGTCGCGATGTGCAATATCTCTGCTGTGTAAGTAATGCACAGCAACACAAATGTCATGCATTATTTGTGCAGCCTCTGAAAATGGCAGATAAGAAAAAATTAAATATTTTATGAACATTTAAATAGTCCGATAAGAGGTGTATCGTCTAATATATTTGGTAAAAATAAGGTAATAAAGTATGTTCACTGATGTTTGAACAATGGAACATATTCTTGTAATACACTTAGAAACATTTTATAAAAATTTGTAGGTCATGAGTATTTAATGTAGCAATCAAACAAAGTACAGTGCTCGCTCAAAAACACTAACTAATTAAGCCATAAATTTTTAGTTCAAATTTCAGAGCATTATCTATTAAGTTTAATAAATATAAAGACAAAAGTATTCGAGTAAGAACTGTATATATATGCATTCTTTATATTAAAAGAGAGAAAGACTTAAAGACAGTTGAAATTAAATAATATTGTTAGATATGCTTACTAAATGGTTGTAATTTCTATATTTGATTTTCAATTGTTCGATTTATAAAGTTAATATTCAAGGATTGCCTTATTAGAAGTGTGCAACCTAGAGCCCTATAATACACAGAACTTATTAACGTCATTTACTAAAGTAATGTGATTAAGTTGTATTTTGAAAATGTCGCCTACTACATATAATACACATCAATTGTGAAAAAACCTCTTTATTCCACCTTCGCAAATATTCTATGCTAAAACAGCTCATAGACACATACTCATGACCCTTGTACTTATAATTTTCTGAAGAAAACCTTTATATGGACTTTTAGTTCACAACTATACTTAAATATCAAAATTTTGAAAGTTCGAATAGTTTCTAAAGTACAAAACTCACTTGAATCTTGTGGTTTAAGTACTTTAAGTTCTGGTACATGCTGTGAAATTAGTTCACCAACGAAATACAAACTGGAGTTAATGTAATCAAATAATACCCTATACGAGTATGCACAAGCGTCTATTAATAAAATTATCTTGTCATCGTAAATTTATTACATTTGTAAGCCTTGATTTATCGTTAAATAAACATACGTATAATGTTGATGGAAGTAAATCTCTATGACATACCTCTTTCCGTAAAAGCACCATCAGCGTTATCTTGTATACGTTGAAAAAGCTCACCACCCTCCATGCTTTTTATCGAGTCCAAAAATAAAATAAATAAATACGAAAGAAAAAAAAATCAAAATAAAAAAATAAAAAAGGCAGAAAAGAGTTCTTAATTAAACTGTCACACATGAAATCTTATCTCCAGCGGAACGCACTTACCATTCCATTACAACTAATAGACATTTATTTCCACTGTATGTGTTCTCATAAACGTCAATGATGTTAACAATGTGTCTGCAGCCACTGACGCGCCAATGCAAATCAACCTCTCGTCTGGCCTTTGGATTGTCCAAAAGCACCTACGAATAAATATTTCCGATGTTAATATGTTAATCAAGTGCAAATAAATTATTTTGTTTTTTGTTGATATTTTGTTTGAAAATAAAAGGGCAATCAGTTTGCAATGGAAAACTGAAAACGGAAATATGTAAATAAGAATACCTTAAGTGCGAATTTCTGATTCGATTTGCGATTCGTGCATTGCACAACTTTTCCATTGATTCCCAATCCTAAAACGGTATTGGATATTTCATAATCGTCCACTATGGGAGTTGTTTTGGGTTGATTGTTTATTGCTGGACCAGCAGCCGTCCGATTATTTATTTTAAACATGACGATAAATTATTATAACTTTAGTTAGGTAATTCTGAAAAATTTTAAGATATTTTTTCTTTAAATATATACAAAAATATACAATATTAAATAGAGATCATAGAGATTATATGAAATAATATTTTTATTACTACATAAACAGAGTATCCCATCCCAGAGTGGTATAAATGTAATAGACGATTTCTTAATCAAAAAAATAAAGAAAATATATAGGATACGAGGGACTATAGTACTGTTTCCTAACCCTTTTAGGCGTATGCTCCATCTATTAGCCTTTGTAGATTTCTAACCATCTGTCACAACTGTATCATGATTCCTTTTTTTTCTTTTATAAAAATACCTTCTTTTATAACTTTAAATTGCGTTTTAAATAAGAATTTTTTTTTTTTGATAGACAAGTAATACCGTGTAAGCATCGTGTTGGGAAAGTATTGATCTATAGTATATTCAATATATTGGAGATGAAGTGCGTGAGTGGTAATATTTTTAAGCTTATTACATATCCTTTAATTCAAAGCTTAATAGATTTTAATACCTAAATGGATTAAAACATTGTGATGGTCTAGATTCAATTCTATTAATTCAGATAAAAAATATAATATAGAAACATCTTTTTATCTATCACACATTATTTTTCTACCTCTAATTGGACATCTACTGCTTTTTTCAATAAACACAAACAAATATATTTATTGCTCATACGTTCTACCAATTTTGTGAATTTTTGTCGAAAAATGTAGTCATGTAAAAAGCCGATCGACAGACAAACAGATCTATGGTAAAAAGAGTTCTTTCATAAACTGTTTTCGCAGAGCAGAATAAGGTACATATAACCTTATAACCTTATTATATCTACCATAATAGATATTCAAAAAACAAGTAAATAACTTTCTTTTATCAAATATCCTCAAACGAATAATATTTTTAACACCTATATTTTAAGAAGCAACCTAAGTACAAAAAGCGACGATTAATATACGTATAATTCGCTATTAGGAGAGTGTTTCCGAGATAGTTGGAGTGTTTGCATTTAAGGTTTTTTTTTCTGTATATATAACTTTTTAATGGCCTGTATCAAAAACTTAATAAACTTTTTTTAAATTTAAGGTTTTTTAGTTTTTAACATTGAGGAAAAAAACACCCTGTATATTATTTTGTTGTCATTGTGATATAATATATAATTAATTATTATAATTAAAATTAATTAAGATATAATTAACAACATTTATGACAGTTAAAATTTTAATAATAATGACCACTTCACGAATTCCAATAGATATAGGCAACAATTTCTTTTGTATCTATCAACGCGTTTGGGATGAACTGATATAATAAAGGGTAACACTTTTTTTAATTCAGAAAACTTTCTCTATAATCCAATCTAATATTTGCTACTATTACAGTGTACAGTTTTCGAAAGTGGATTCTTTTTGTCATATATGTATGTATGGCAATACAAATTAGACTTCATTACACTCGGAACTGTAGATGGTAATTTTACCAGTTGAATATAATTTTAATATATGGACTACATAAGTATATGGTTCTAATTCTGTTAACACAAAATAATTTGCATTTTTAATTATGTATACATACATTATACATTAATTAATAATCAGTTTTGAATTTTGAGTCTTATCTGATCTGATGGACAATGAGCCACCAGAAAAACTTCCAACCAACCATATTCTGTTCCACCTTTTGCTGTCATATATATTTGTATAAAAAAAAAGATAAATAAAATATGTACAATTTACAATAAAGCAGATTTCTTATTTGAGCAACTTGAAAATCTTCAAACAGCTTGAAGCTTTTCGTATATTCAAGGTGTTCGATCCAAATGATCGAATTCGAGTACATGTTCGAACTGCTTGAGTAGCGAAATGTTCGAACACTTTGAAGTGCTAATTAATGCAGTTACTTCATATATTTGCAAATATTTTTAGTTGCTTTACGTCTGTTGTTACATTGTGCCGAACCTTTTGACATTAATTAAATAATGAATGCTAAATAATGATTATATCGTACCACTGTATGTTATGAATGTTGGTTTTATGTATGAGTTCCGGTGTTTTGTTTTGTTTGAGGTCAATTACTTACAAATGCGTTGTAGAGCGCCACAAATTATGCACTGATCAGGGCGGAAAGTGTGGTACTTACTAAAGCATCGTTTTTTTTTTGGTTTAATTATAAGCTTAATTTATATAAATTGCATTAATGTAAACCTAAATGTGATTTATTTCTAGGTATAAATTGTGTGCTTATGTTTTTATTTTTT